ACAAATCATTAATTAGGCATCATTTTGAATACTGTTTGCAGTTTTAGTTTCCTTATCTAAGAATATTGACTTATTAGGATTCATAGGAGTGCTACTAGAATGATTGTGGGGGTTATTTTATGGGGATAGGTTAAGATCTTAACTTTTCTGTTGAGAAAAGAAGCGTAAGAAGGTGATCTTGAGCTGTATTCTGAAAACATGTTTTATGATTTATAAGAGACAAGCTAGGCTCCAGTTAAGACAATTTTATTTGTCTAACGTGGTAATTAGCTTGTGGAAAAAATTAGAATTGATAGTAGTGAAGGCAAGAACTTTACAAGAGTTTAAGAACGGAATTAATGATTTCATGAAAAATAATGGGTGTTTTAAATTTTACTTTTTCTTAGTATATTAGGAAATATGACTGAAAAGTTTTATACAATTTGCTGGAATGGATGAAGGACATTTATGAAATTAAAATAATCTTATCTATTCACGTGAAACCTTATGTTGAAGTGTGTCTATTTTAATAGAGAACATTGTAGAGCTAGAGATACGCGATTGAGTATTTCAAAGGTGCACTTGGTCAGAGACAGAGCCTTGTTTAATTATGTGGCCTAGGTTCATCTTCAATTACAAGCTGGCTAAGTGCAAAAGTTTTGAGATGCCAGCTGGGCAAAATAATTGCATGACAAATAAGTCCATTGCAGTTTGCAGCTTTGCATTTGGATGCTGTCCCCACCAATACCACAAATGGGCTCAGTGAAGTTTACTCTACCACTGTTGTCTGTAACTAAAGGTTATACCATTGTAATTTTAAACATTCTTTCTTATATTTAGTGATATCGTCATTGAAAACTAAAAATACATTGCTTACCACTCACTGACCAGAGTTTAACTGGCTGTAACTAAGTAGCTTTACTAATAATGATAGGAATTACCATATTGATCTTTTATTTCTATGTACATCCATTATTATTCAAGCACTGATATTTCAGCTGCTATTTACTATTCAGATAGATCTAGCATATTGTTGAAGTTTTGAACACATTCTGTTTGATTAAAAACATTCACCTCATTCTTGTCAGTGTTTACAAGTAGCTTGTTTTCCTGTTTTGTCTGCTCCAATTGCTCATTTTTTTCCCTTTGTGTTCTGCTCCTACTTAGTCTTCTTGGTTGAAGACTGCCCCATGTTTCATATGCAAATGTTTGTGTCCTTGTTCATTCCATTTATTATCTATAGTTTTTTTTTGTTTTCGATTTTGGGGTGTGATCTGAATGCATGTGAGAGGTATACATACAATTCACTGTTTAGGAGATAAGAGGTTTTACATCAAATGTTTCTCCAGGGGTACACTATAGCAATTAAATCTCCATAAACAAAGCAGTTTGTTTTATGAAAATACTGGTCTTCTAGGCACCATCAACAATTAAAAATTTGATCATAAACCATACTCTAATAGGAATGGTTTAATAAGAAGAAATATATTTAAGTTTTTCTAGGTGCCACTAAGAACTGTTTTATCTGTTAATGAAAATAATTATGTTTATGTATTGTTTTACATTATTTATTAAACTATGTGGTGGTAAAGGCTATTTTTTGCAGTTAAAAAATTTAAGATTGTGGTAAGATATGTTTCATAAGTGTTAAAGAAATTAATATTTCTATTTTTATAAAAAGGTAGGTAATAACATGTAGTGTGTGTGTGTGTTCAAATTTGCTATTTTGTGTTTTTCCTTAGACAGACTGATAGTGCTGTTCATTAAGTTTGAGAATTGAGTATTTTTTGTTTGCTTTTTACTGCTAATGGCAGAAAATATTAGTGAGAACTATTTATTTAAAAAGTACTTGTCTTTAGTTTTTCTTGAAATTTCATTAAACCTTCAAGTACCTCTTACAAAGGAAATGATTGTTAAACACAGAGAGCATGCAGAATTTTTTAAGTTATTTATACATTACTGAACCTAAGTCTTTAAATACCTGTTTATTTATTAGAAGAGGATAATGTAATTATTTTAGGATAAAGAGCTTATATATTGTTTACTTGTTTTTGAGAATGTATTTTCTTTAGAACCTCGGGGAATATATTCATGTATATTACATGCTCTTATTGCAAACTTATTAGGAGATATTTGTAGCTACTTGAACCTGTAACTAACTTGTTATTAAATAGATATGAAAGAGATGAGGGTGCCTACCTACTATACTGTAAGTTTGTTATCATTTAGCCTTATCTTTAATCAATATGTAACTAGGAAGGTTTTGATGGATTTGCCAAAATATTGATTGATGTAATTATTATGCATTGAGAAAAATGTAGAAGTGTGTGCTTTAATTGTATAGGTAGTGTTTTTGTAATAGTTTTGTATTCAATGGTTTTACATTTTGTACATGTACAGTAAACAGGCTGAACCAGTAGAAAATATGACTGGGATGACTCAAGAAGAGATTATAAGCAACACCAAGACAGTACTGCAAGGGCTTGAAGCTTTAAAGAATGAACATAATTCCATCTATAGTGGCCTTTTGTTATCACTCAAAGCTGTTCAGCAAGAAAAAGGAGATGGTCATCTTGTGGAAGAAAAGGCCTCCATTATTAAAAAAAATTTGGAATCAATAGAGCTGGGCCTTGGAGAAGCACAGGTACATAAACCAATGTGTTTCACAAAAGATATGACAATGACACAGCTGTATAGAATGTTTTGTTGAAGTAGAAGTTCATGCTGATAAAGTTACGTACAACATTTTGAGCTACAAAAGGGCTGGTGCATGAATATATTATTATCATTGTCCAAGAAGGTTTTGTTGACATAGGTAGATAATAATGGTATTGTTAAAGAAAGATTAAGTAAGACACCTGTCCACAGTCTCATTATTTTCCAAAATGGACAAAAAATAAAACAAATTTGATCCAAGAAAGACTTGATGTTTACATAGATACACTATTATCAATACCATATGATGAAAAGCTAGCACTGTAGATCAGAACTTGTAACTTAACAAAGGCAATTTGATGTAACAAGTTCACTAGAAATATATAGTTTCATAAATTAATGTACAAGAAAACTATGATTATTAAAATACACTGATACATAATATGTCACGAGGTTTGTTCATCTCAGATCTAGGTTAGTCCTTAGTCCATATACTAAGCTAATAAATCAAAATAATCTTTGTAAGTGTCAAAATTACAACTGGGTGATTTAAATGAATAACCAGTATAACTGATTACCGAAAAGCATTGATTAATTTCACATAAAATAACTGAATAAAACAATTAATATCACAACAATAATTAGTGTATTTAGTTACTCCAACTATCCAAGTAATTGAAATATGACTATTATGGTTTCTTCTTATTAATTTTGATTAATTGAAGGTTGTTCAGCTTGATTGATTAATGTCATGACTCACTAAAATAATCAACTAATCAAAATTAATGTTTCCTATTATTAATATTTTCAGTTATATGAATTATCCAACTGTTTTGTTTGAAAAATCATTGAGTTGAATGTAATCACCCAGCTTCAGTGAAAGTTAATAAATAACAATCAAGTTATTCAACATATTATGATAAATACTTTTTAATGAAATTAACAATGAAGAAAAATGAAGTATGTCATTGTTTAAGAAAGATGAGGAAATGTGTGCATAACAATGTTACTGTTAAACATATTTTAAAATATGGTCATAGTAACAATATAGTTGTTATAACAAATTTGATGTTGGAGGAGATACAAGATATTATTGCTAAAGGATAGTAAGTAAAAATTACTGGTAATTTAACAAATAGGAATATTATCAGAAATTTTACTCACAGAGGTAGTTATTATTTTATAGCATTAATGTGACTGAAAGAAGAATTGTTTTAATGTGTAGTTCAACCAGAAATATTTGTTGATACTTGACTTGTTAAAAATAATTACAGATTTATTATTTAAATTTTGATAAACAACTTATTACTGATGTGATCAGGGAAAGAGTATTTAGTAATGCAGGTTACAAAAAAGAGAAAAATATTAGTAACATACTTAACTAAATATTATAGTAACTGAAATATCATTTTACAGAAGAATCATGTTTCACTTTTTTAATCTGACATGATAATAATATGATAATTTTTGTGTGTGTGTGTGCAAAACTTAAAATAATAGAAACTTGAACATTATCTAGTAAGTTTTTAATTAACTGTAATCATAATTAGCACTAACATTTAAACAAAAATAAATGAATTGCATTTAGATATAAGGTAACAAGATGTCATTGAAAACACGCATTTACTTTTAATTGATAGTGTGGTTCTTTTACCACTACTTTTGTGAATTGTCCAACTTTCAACTATCTCTTTCTTGTCCTCATTCTATTGAGGGCTGTGTTTATCCTTATCTTCTGTGACTGTGGCAATGTCATTAGAAGACTCTGGAAAAAATTTAAATTCTTTTGAAGATGATATTGAATCCAAGTGGAAAAACCTGTTCATACACTTACCTCTAGTGTGAGTTTGTCCATATGCATTATTATGTCAGCCTTTTTTGAAGTAAGTCTGTTGTACTTTTCAGGGTACACAAATCTGTACATACAGAAGTTCTTGATTGCTGTAAAAGATCAAATCAGGTGTAAGATAGCGACAGGTTCTTTGCTGGATAGAGATGACTCACAAATATTTATCAATCACATAAAAGGAGACTGTTTGTTTTTGTATCATCAGACCTTTGATGTTTCTTTACCAAGACCAATCAACATCAAGCATGTCTTCTGCAATTTTGTAAAAGAATTATGTTGCATTATAATCTGTCTTGTGTATATGATATTCAGAACATTTTCATCATATAAATAGAAATTAGATGAAATGTAAGTTGTATTCTTGAGGATTTGTTTCTCATCAGAATTGAAAATATGTTTCAAGGATGGTGATCTGTTAAGCGAGAAGTAACAAAAATGTAACAATTGCCACATTGTTGTCTGGGATTTGGATCTTAATCTTCCATTCACTAGGTGTGGATTTTTCAGATATTTTTAAAGTCAGTTTGAAAAATGCAGTTGGTCCTTTCTTTTTTCTTGCTGTAATTAAACAATGTATTAAGTTAGATGATGAGAACTTTGTACATGTTGTGCTGTTTTGTTGCATTTTGGCTAAATTATTGGTCAAATCTTCAGCCTCATAGTGTCACGTTTAAGAAAGTTTAACATATAGGAATACAATTGCAGAAAGCTATGGGATAATCAGGGTGTTTCTTTTGAAGTAACTTCCAGCTTTTTTTGTGTTGGTGGCATTCTGTTATAAGCCAATGAAAGTTGCAGTGTTGATTTCTTTCATGATCTTAAATATAGTGTCAGCCATTTATTTACATCTGTGTGTGTGTGTGTGTGTATGTTTATGGTTAAGCTGTTAGTATTGGAATTACAAAGTTCACAATTGGCTGACTCTAAAGGTTACTTCAACCATTAGATTGTTGGCTTGATATGCATGTTTCTGGCACTTCCAGCTTCATATCATAATCAACATTTTTGAATTCTAATATCACTAGTGTGGTTAACAGTTCATTTCAGGTTAGAAATTGTAGGGCTGGCTTACATACTGGAAAGTGGTTTACTGTTATGGATCTTTGGTTATGTTCAGTGGTTTCTTGTGGCATACATTGCTCTTGTTAGCAACTCCTGAGCATAATTTTGCTGCTTTTTTTTTATAAAAAATGTCTACAAACCTTTCATGTTGGAGCTTGAATAAAACATGACAGCACAAAAAATGTGATAATTTGTTAAATCATTCCTGTAGGCCTAGGCTTGGTTAAAGAAATGATTCAAAATATTCTGAGCTGTTCACTGTTGACCAACTGAATGCTGGTGTTATCTAGTGAGTTCAATGAAAGCTTTACAAAAGTAGTTTATATTTTTTCCTTAAAAGGTAGCAGTACTATGAACAAAATGTTTTTTGATGGTAACTGTTTTATCTGTTTTTTTTTATACACAAGTCTTGTTAATAGGGAAATTCAAGCTATCCTAACTAAATAGTGACTCCCACTTAGTTGTGCTGAAAATAAAATAAAAATTTATTGCTAATGTTATTGACTTGGCACACTATGCAAGGATGATTTAGTTCTGTAATATGTACTAACTATCAAGGCTGTGCTTTAGTTAGCTAATATACAATAATACTGAAATAATCTTGGAGACACACACAAGCAATACACATACAGAAATCACAAACAATAAGTAATATCAATTAGTACTTGCATCCCATCTATTGGATAGGGATCTGCCCTTTAAAGATGGTCAAAAGTTAAAACAGAAAAGCTCCCCATTTAGTTCTCCTTCCCAAAGTAGGGGAACATGGTAAGGCTTTTACAGTGGAACTGTTGAGGTTTTCCCCTCTAATTTAGATGACATTAAGGCTTTACCTAATGGTTACCATCATGTGTGTATCTCTTTACAAGACTTTCTTTGGATTTGTTGATAATGCTATAATTCAGCAGTTTTGATTATACAGAAAAGAAGGGTTGTAGGTCTGTATGATGGAAGGGATAATGGAGGACTAGCACTGCTGGTTGATCAGCATATTTTCTCTATGATTTTGAACTCTTTTTACATCTCTGGAATCTAATCCCAACTGTGTCTTCACTAGTCTTACCAAGACAGTATGTTCCGTTTATTTCTCTTTAAGAGAGGAATTCAGTCAAGCAGATCTTGATGATCTTATTGAACAGTTGTCTTGTTCCTTGTACATTCAGGGATACTTAAATGGACAGAACCACTGTTGAATATACCAATTTCCATGCCAAGAGTTAGGCATTTTCTGTCCATTTGTTCACCCTCTCTTCTTCTTTGTTTCTTTGGGGGATGGAAAATGATCCATGAGGCAGTGATAATGTTTCCATAATTCTGAGGGAGATTAGTAACATTGATGTAATTTGACTCGTGTACCATGATGGAAACTAGAAAAGATCAGCTAACCCTCCTTCACCAGTCACTCGGAGCTTAAACGTGCCATCATTAATCCACCATCTGTTAATGACTGTGTAAAGACAGTGATTGATCATATTCTTCAGGCAGCTGATCCTACCATTCTTAAAATCTTAACTTGTCTTCCACAATATCCTCATCTATGGTGGACACCTTATTGTCAATGGACCTATAAGACAGGTTCAGAAATTGGTCTGTGATATCTTCTACAGATATTCCACTTTTACAAACCATATAGCCTTTTATAAGGCCATACCCAGAAAGTCAGACATCATAGACAGAAGGAATCTTGGATTAAATTCATTGTCAGCATTTCATCCTTCACCAGTTTCAGTGTAATATGGGACAAGATTCAAAAGATAAATTGGAAGTATAGATCCCAATCTCTTTTAATCTTGAAATCCAGTGGTCAAGAAGTTTCAGATTAACAGGGTATTGCTAATACCCTGGGAGTGTGTTTCTCCTGTTACTTCAAACTGTTTCCCTGCTTTTGAGACCATAAAGATGTGTTGAGAGATCCCCACCTTCTTTTTGTCCATATTTTTTTTTACAATGGTAATTAACCATTTGCTCTGGTAGAACTTAAGTTTGCTCTACATCAATTGCACCAGATATCATCCATTATGAGATACTATATTATCTGTCTCCTGCCTCTTTTTATTTTTTTCTTTTATTGGATTTGTCAGGAAAAATAATTTTCAGATTTATGGCATTAGGCTATGCTATTGTCATCCATTTTTCTAAGTCCAGGAAGGATCCTAAGATTTCTTCTAATTATAGGCCTTTAACTAGCTGTCTATTCAAAGTTTTAAAGAAGATGGTTAATGCTTGTTTTATTTGGTTCTTGAAATCAAACAACTTCTGAATGTGTTTTCTGTATAGAACATTTTACTGTGAACCACCTGATATGACTAGAAAGGTTACTTAAGGAAGTTATTCTTGATATAAAGCATCATGTTTCTTATGTTTATTTACCTTGATAAAGCATATCATACTACTTGGAGGTTTGGCATATTGCAATACCTTCATTCATTTTGGTTGTGTAGCCAGTTTTATCAGTAAGTTTTTAGCAGGTTTTTCTGGATTTGTGTAGGATCAGCACTTCCATGTTCCTTCCCACAGGAGCTTGGAGTACCACAGGGCTGTGTCTTTGGTGCCATATTTTTTAATATTAAAGTCGATGCTCTCACTTCAGTCATAAAATATGAAGTTCATTGAGCATTAGCTTCAAATTACCCTCAGTAATTTGTGTGAGTGGTCCACTGCAAAATATTTTGGATTTTTGTCTTTTAAAACCTTTAGCATGCATTTTTGCCATCAGCAGGGATTGCTTTCTGATCCCAAGTTGTATCTGGAAGGTCTAGATATTTCTGTGGTGAGTAATACAAAAATATTAGGACTTAAGTTTGACAATAAGCTGACTTTTATTTCATACATAAAGCAAGTGTACAGAAGCACTGAACATCCAACTTACTCTCTCTTCCACCTTTTTTTTTGACGTGGATAGGGTTTTTATGTTCAAGATCTAATGTATCTTTATTCAGTCAAAGCTGGACTATGGGTCTTTGTTCTATGCCTTGGCCAGAGAGTCTGCATTGGAGATGTTGGATCCTGTGCATCACCAGGGGTTTCTGCAATTACCCATTCAGAGTTTATACTCAACTTCTGAGATCTTTGCAAATTTTTTTGCAGTACACTGCAAAGCTCAAATCTACTGCAGCATCCTACATGGCAGTGTGTCTCTATGCTTTGGTGTGCTTTGCTTTTTACATATAAATGGTCTGCTATTCCTACTTTTGACAGGTAAAGTTCACTGAGATGAGCCTGACAACGGCTGATATTTCTGCAGCTAATGATCAGGCCATCTAATTTTATCTTGTTACCATTCCAACTTGTGATCTTTCATTAAGTCACATGAAAAATGTTGATACTCTTTAATGGAACTACAGACTTCTCTTTAGTAAGCACCTTTAAAGAAATTCTTCTGTTTCTATTTTTATTGACTGTGAGCTTAGCCTTATTTTTCTGCAGTTCTGTAGTTACTCACAGGATCCCCTCTACAGATTCTGTAATCATTGCTGAGTTGTATGCAGTTTCACTTGCTCTGGATCATGTAGAAGCATAGTAGCACTCTAATTATACTGTCTATACTAACTCACTTAGCTCTTTGAATATTCAGAAAAGTCTAGCCCATTTCTCTCTCATCTATCCTTGTTCAGTTTTATGTATTCCTGGCCTCCTTGGAGTTTGAGGGAATGAGCTTGCTGACACCTCTACAATATTGGCCTTTGCTGACAATGTCACAAATATTTGAATTGGAAGTCTGTCATCAAGACATGGCTTCACACAAGTTGCCAGGCAGTTTGTGACGAGCAACTACTTGACAAGCTTTTCCAGATAAAGCATACTGTCTCTGATTGGCCATCATATTTGTGAAGCAATCAGTGGGAGCAAGTTGGCCTTACAAGGATCCACATTAACTGTAATTTTGTTACACGTCATAATCAATTATGAGGGAAAGACTGTCAACGTATAAGCAGTGTGACACTCAATTCATAATTGCCAGTATTTTAATTTCATGCCTTAACTATGATGTTGAGATACAGTGCCATTTTAGACTTGTGTTGTCCTGTTGACATAGGACATGAATGATTACATTTTATAGGTTGCTTATGTTTCTAGCTTTTTTATGGGACATAGGCTTTAAAAAAATGGACTTTCAAACACGTGTACAGTAAGTAATTTGATCTACAAGTAATTTTATTTCTTAAGGAGGAATTTTCATATTAATGTTTTATAATAGTAGTGTTAATAAATATTCACTGAGTAAGAGTGTAAAAATTATGTACTTATTAAACTAAGAGACTATACTCCTGGATATTTAATATCTACAAGTTTTTTTGACATTATTAGAAAAGCCAAAGTTTTCTTGTGATAAGCTTGGCTTCAATAATTTTCTTTTTATTTAGTGTAAAGTTAGAGACATAAGTTATGTTATCTTTGGTCTTGGTAGAACAGTACTCTAGGATTTCAGTAAGAAATTTATTTAACTGAAGGTATTAATAGTCTTTGTATTAAAGATTTAGTTCATTTGTTTTTTCTTTCCAATTTTATTTTATGAATTACTATTATTATTGTTCTTATTTTTTTTTAGATACAAGCCAGATTTTGTTATTGTGCATCTTGGAATAGCTCTCATATTTTAGTACAACTAACTGATCCACTATGATTTAAATAATTATATGTGTGTCAGGTGGTGTTGGCTCTTGCTGGACATTTACAAACGGTGGAAGCTGAGAAACAGAAACTACGAGCCCAAGTGAAACGTCTATGTCAGGAGAATGCCTGGTTGCGAGATGAACTTGCTAACACCCAGCAGAAGTTGCAAGCATCGGAGCAGTCAGTAGCTCAGCTGGAGGAAGAGAAAAAACACTTAGAATTCATGAGCTCACTCAAAAAATATGAGAGTAATGAAGTAGTAAGTGGTTAAGTCTGCTATTAGTGAAGCATGATTAAAATTTGTTTGATAGAATAATTTTTATGTTGTAGTTTACTTGTTATCTTGGCGTAATATCAATTTTATTCTGTTGAGGTCATGGCTGATGCTTTTGTTTTGTGGTGTTACAGATTTGATATATCTACTCTTCTTGAATTTGAAATCTGGATGAATTAAGAGGAATGTAAGGATAAAAATCTACAGATCTTGATAATGAATATTAGTCCTATTAATTAAGTTTTCTTGTTGGACTTGACTTCTATAGTAGTCTGAATAGATAAATCTTAATTTATTTTGGGATATGATTTAGAGAATGATATAGTGATTTCAGTGGAGTAGAAAAAGAGGGGTAATATATAATCCCCCCCAACTATTTAAAAAAAATGTGTATTTGAGAGAAAGAGAGCAAAAGGTTGAATGTGTGGTGCCTTTGGAGTTATGTAAAAACTAACTTTTATGATAAAGGGGACGCCATGCTACTTACTAATAGAGCTGATCAAAAATAGTAATCTTAAAACTCAAATCCACCAGAACCAACTATAATCTTGTTTCTAATCTATGCTAGTTAATTTCTCTTCTACCTGCCAGTTATCAAAATCTAAACTTTTAATTTTAGTTATCATTGTTTAAGAACATTTTGATATGTGCTCAGATATTTGTATTACGGTGTTAAGTGCCAAAAGCTGGCAAATCAGTGGAATCATGGAACCAGTAAGCTTAATACTTGGGATAAAAAGCATGCTTGACTACATATGATTCCTTCTTCATACCTCATAATTAGTTCATTACAGGTTTAAAATCAGAGATCTGTTTAAAAAAAAGAATCTTTGATATATCTCTTTTTCATGGGTCACTGCCCAGGAGGCCTTTTATTTGATACCAGAACTTGTCACCTGAGCTGGACATGATTGCAGCCATAAGTTTATCTAAAATATTATATTAAATTCAGTACAAACAATTTGTTGTGATGTTAAATGCTATAAGCTACTGAAGCAATATAACCAGTAGGCCTAATATGCATGATCAAAAGTTCTTGGACTACTTATGGTTTTTTCTTAAATACATTTCAGTTAGTCCACTATGAGTTTCAATTCAGGTGCACTTCATTTGTTATCAGTATTCATGGAGATTTTATTATGTTTTCTTGACTCTTTGTACATTTTTTTTTGTCAATTCTTTATATTCAGTGTTATAACTGGGAAAAATATAAAATTATTCATTGTGATGCAATATGTGGAATTCACTGCTCCTGAAAAAAGAATAGTGAACTATTCAAAAGTACTGGGTCTCTTGAAAAGTACTTGAATATTTTGGGGATCCTTGCTCTTTCATCATGGCTAATATAAAAACATGTATAACAAGAATTTGATTAGATTTATTGTATACATTTTTTGATGCATGTGAAAAAAATATTTAAAACTACTGTAATATTTACTGTAATTATTGTTGTGAATACTGTCTAATTTTATGCGGTTTACATATCCTCTGTGTGTTTTTAGAGATCTTTTACATTAGGAAATAAAACTATGACTGCTTTCTCTTGTTATTTATCTTTATATTCTTATTCTCCTCTATCGGGTGTTTAGGATATTCATCTTCAGGGGGGGGGTTATTGTTTTTTTTTTCTCCCTTCTTATCACCTTCTGTATTACAGTCTTGTTCATTCTGGAAACTGGACAGTGTGTGTCACCAGTTCTTACACTGTTGGGATGGTTTAACTGACTTATAGTAAAATCTTGTTGTGTATGAGTTTTGGTATGATAAAGATTGTCAGTTGGGTGCATTATTTGAGAATTCTGTTATTTTCAAGGTGTTGGCAGTGTATCTGTAGTGTTTCAAAGGTCTTTACATAAGTGAATAGATTAGATATATGAAAGCTGACCATTGTATCTTGTGAGGTGTTGTGGTTGGTTTGTAATCTTTACAAAGTGGACTGAGTTTCTAACATGATGGTAATATTATATCTACAAGAAGAATCTACAGCTATGGAGTGGAGAGTGGCATTGTTTGTAATTTTATGTAGATCTTATATGACTGCTGTGGTGTACTAGTATTTGTTTGAATTAAAATGATTGTAAAAACAAATATTTTGGACATTTCTGAATTTTACATAATCCATCTTTAGCAGATTATTTGTTAAAACGAGTTTTAAGTTACAATTTCCTGCAAATGAATCAATTTCTAGTTGCTTGATAGTTTCAGTTCCAAGTTAGTTTTGGTGTTTCTTTAGGAGTTTTTTAATATTTTTCTGTGTATTAACTGTTGTATTAGACTTACTCTTACTGCAGTGGCCATCTTTGTCTAGATTAGAGTTTGAAGGTATATTCTTTCTTATCCATGATTACTTTTATCTGCTGGTAAAATTGTTAGGGTGGTGTCTTTCCTTGAGTTTTTTGTTATGGTGATATAATGGTGGGGGTTTACATTTTGTGAATTTCTTGACTGTTGACTATTTTGATTCTGTAAGTCATTTCCTCTGTGGTTGTGGCTATACCTAGTTTAGTATTTTGTTAAATTTCAAGGTGAGATTTAGGCCTTTATTTTGTGTACTTCTGGTTTTATTATTGGTCTTTTACCTAGGTATATTATGTGTGTTTAGGTGTTTGTAGTATTAAGAGGGTTCTTATTTTGAGAATAGGGGATGTGATTTTCCTTAGTATGTGAATGTAAGTGTTGGAAAGAAGTTTTAATAGCTTTGTGTATCTTTATATAGAGTCTACGTGTTAAATTATGTTACCTATGTTTTGAATGCATATGTAAATTTTAAGGTATTTGAAATTTTGTTGTTGTAGATTTTCTTAACAAGTATAAAAACATTAACATTCTTCAACCTACTGCTGTTTCTAACTAACAATGACCTTTAATTGAGGTCAAGCACATCTACCAACTAGACTCATGATGCCAGCCAAACATTACAAGTATACATATTCTTGACCTGATTAGTGCGTTAAAATTACTATAGATATCAGGTACTGCTTCAAATACTATTGATTTGTAATTAACAAGATATAATGTAGATTATATTTTCCATACATTTTATTTTAATTTACCTTTTGTTTATTCAGTTATTTATTTGCTCATCATTGTTATCCAAGATTAAATTATGAGCAGTTGTTAAGCTCAAACAATCAAATACCAGTGTATCCATCTGCTAGTTTAATTCATGGTCTCTAAATAATTAAAGAATGCACTCTGTTAGTATCACTGGAAACTTGTTTACATCAGATAAACAGGGTATAATATGTATGGTTACAGCATTTCAATAGGTTAACCGGGCATCATCAGGTACAACAACTACAATTATTGAACTCGTAATATAGGTAGCATGAAATAAACTAGCAGGTGAATACACTGGTATTTGATTGCTTGATTGTTTCATGTATTTGATATTATTTGATTGTTTATTTCTGATGTAAACAAGTTTTCCAGTGATACTAACAGAGTACTTTCTTTGATTATTTAGAGACCATGAATGTTATACTATGGCTTGCATTTATTTATATGGTGATACCTGATCTTATTGTGGAGTATGGATTTATTAAGTTCCTGAGTCTAACATCATAGGATGTTAATAGATAATTTGATCTTAACTCCTCTAGGAATTCCATTGTGTTGTTTACATTTATGTAGGAAAAGGTGAAATGGTTTTAACTAACTTATAGATAAATCTTCCTAAGTTTCTTACAAATTCTGAGGTATACATAGATGTTTTCATTTATTAAAAAGATTAAAATTAAGCCTTGTAGTAGTATCACAGAGAAAATGTGAACTTAGTTTAGTGTTTACTAAATTGAACATTTATAAATGTACTGATTAATGTTTAGGTTAAATAATGAATAAACTACTTATATCATTAGAAGAAATTTACTTTTAACAATGAGCGAATTTTTCATTGGATGTACAACTGTTGATGTAGAAGCATTTTAAAGCCACTATGCAACTCTTATTGCCGTGTAAAGGGAAATGTATAATGAGTACAACTATGAGTTTAATAATGCTTTGAGACAAGGGTTAAGAAAGCCCTTTTTTTATCTGCAGGGAATGGAAGACTCAGCTGGAGAGAAAAAATCTGAGACAGGTGAATCCACATTAGATCTTGGTTTTCCTGATGATGATGATGATGATGGATCTCAGCATGAAGGTAATTTTAAGATCCAGATTGTTAAAATCATTACTTTGGCAAGTTAACAAACCAGTCAAGAACTTACTATATATATGGTGTGTTTGAAAACTGCCTTTTTATTTGTTAGAAAGTGTAATACAAGAGTTTTGTCTAAGTAATGTGATACACCAGTGAAAATGATCTTGAATGTAATCAGTAAGGATTTTAGTCTTTAGATTAACATGTAATGTCATGTAGATGACAATTACACTAACACATAAAATATTCAGGTATATTTAATTTGTTTTTATATCAGAAAAAATACTTAAGAATAAATAATAGTATGTGATATGCTGTTTTTATGACAGATTTTGTAAAAATAAAAAGATCAAATCCGAAAGCCTTTCTTTATTGAGTTTAAACTCATATTCTCAACAAAACGTGATTAAAAATTTCCAAATATCCTTTATGTATTGTACGGCATGCATCACTTACCAACAAATTTCCACTCTCCTGTCTTCAGTATGACTTATTGTGCAAGAGTCAGAGGATCTTACACAAGCTTTGCTTTTTTGCCATAATTTAGGTTTACTTGTTGACAGTTGTGCTTTAATGTTTGCCATGTTCTTTCTGATGCATCTGTTTCCACTGCTATTGGAATTTCTATAACTTTGTGGGAGGCCTTACTTATGCAACCTTGTCTGTAGCATGCAGGATAAAATTTTCTAGGCATTGTCAGCTCTAATGGTTTACCATATTTTTGCTGTTGTATATGATGTTTTTGGTGGGTATAATGATCATATGGACACTTAATTTGCATAATTCTTGCCATTTTCTATAATTTTTGATGAAGGTAAAATTTTTGCTCTAGGCTAATCACCTTCAAAGCCTGCAGAGCTGGATTTGCCTGCTACAGTACTAGCCATTATCCTGACAGTACTTCTGCTGGTCTTATTTCTTTTTTCTCTCTAGACTTTGTTTTATATCTTTAATATTGAGCCTATTCCAGTTATGCACGAGAGTGCTCATGTGAAATTAGATGATTTCCATACTTGAATCATTTATTTCATTTTGAGATTGGGATTATGCAGACTTTTTCTTTTTAAACTAGCTCATTATTCACATACTTCATATTCCAAATACTACTCTTAAAGTTTCTATTCACTTTGGTTTGGGCATTTTTAAACTTTTTCCACATCAAAGGGATATCAGTGTTATACTTCATGTTTCCTCTGAGACTGGTTTTAGATCTTTCTTGTTCCATTTGTCATCTAGAACATTTTGTGCAAGTTCCTTTGTCATGATTTTTGGATGACAAATGGAGGTTCTAAAAATGCCTATTTACATATCGTGATTCCCACTTTTTTATTTTCAAAATAGTGGAATGGTTTATCAATTAATGGCCCTCCCTTTTCTGTTTGTATTTGATACTCTGTGTCTTCATACATGTAGCAAAACCATTAGCTGGTCTTCTACATACACTCAAAATCAATTGTAATCATTACATTGATTAGGGGATTCTTGTTTAGTGGTTTCCTTGCACTGAATTGAACTTCCATTTAGCTTCTGCCCTGGAATAGATTGTACATGAGTTCAAGTCTCAACTTGTGCTTATCAATATCTTTCATTTGAAATTTCCCTTTTAATACTCTCTCAGAACTTCTTCACCTCTTACTTTTGCAATCCCTAAATTTTTGGGTGTGGGTATTTCTTTATCTGCCAAACATATCTTTTTGATTTGGATATGATGGCTTTTTTTTTTACATGGCATTTCCCATGGATCATGCTTACTAAAGATACTGTCAGTGGAATGTGGACCCTTCATGGAATTTGTCCTTAGACCTTATATACATTGTAATTTTGCCTATTATTCTTCATTTCCTTCAAGTGTGGCTCACTTATGAGTTTTTAATTGTAGGTTCCTCTTTTCTTTAAGAACTTTTGAATCTGGATCTTTTTGCTGATGCCCCTATCTAGGGCTGGGGTAATTAGTTGGGGGACCATTTATCTTTAGGTAGAGTCTGTAGACTTCTGAGATATCTCATTCTAACATCATTTTGTAAGATATTTGGGCTCTTCCATATCAAAGTCAGGAGTTCCTGCTTGTGGTACACCACCACTGTGTTTTAGTACTTATAAACAATTTAACTGTTGTAACATACATCAACAGGTGTGGTGGACTCTAGAAGGGTATGCTTTGAGCCTTCTCAGGAGAAGTGTTTTCTCTATGCCTGCCATATTCTTCATCTTCTTTCTCAGTATTGGCCAAGATCAGTTGGTGGCATTGTCCAGTTATTCATCTTGCTCCATCATGGTTTCTACTCCTCATGAGTATCTCAGAAGGGTCCTATACCATTAATTTTAATGTACATCTTCCATAATGATGTTTGTTTTCTACAGCTTCATGGCATGTTGTAATGCAGTTCATCTGTTTGTGAAGCTGGCTTCTCTTTTTGGGTAGATTGAATGTTGTCTTATTTTTTGCAGATGTTCCTTCTTGGCCCTATACTTATCTCATTGGTTTAACTTTGGAGTTGGTGCTTGCACAATTCAGTTTTTGTCTTTCTCCAATTTGTTAACAGCTTGCCTCATTGTTATTATGCATATCTCTTTCATGATCAGGGCTTGTGTACTTCTATTACAGGCTACAAAGCTGCAAACCCAGCCACTCAGTGGGATTTAAGTGGTCGTAAGTTGCCTGGCTTCTCTTGAATCATTTGCAACTTGTTCACTTTTCCATCTTTCCCTGAAGACATATTTTGTTACTTGCTCTTCGTTGTGTTACCTTCTCTTACTGACCCTGATTCTCCTTCTGATGAATCTTTTCTGTGTCTGGACATGGATGTTTTTCCCTAATTTTGGAGGGAATTGACTTTGGTTGTTTATACCTCATGATGATTCACGTTCAGTGATTCTTGCTCTCCCCCCAATGGAAGATGAGAAACATAATTCTATCTTTATTTATTCAGCATATATATATGAGAAACATAATTCTATCTTTATTTATTCAGCATATATATGAGAAACATAATTCTATCTTTATTCATTCAGCATATACAATGTATATGAGAAACATAATTCTATCTTTATTTATTCAGCATATATATGAGAAACATAATTCTATCTTTATTTATTCAGCATATATATATGAGAAACATAATTCTATCTTTATTTATTCAGCATATATATGAGAAACATAATTCTATCTTTATTCATTCAATATATATATATGAATTTACAAGATTTTATTTACTTCAAATTTACACACTATTTATTACACGTAATTTTCAATTCTAATAAAAGTTGGTATGTTTGTCAGCAGTTTTACTTAAAATCTCTAGATATCTACCCTGTAGATAAATATTGAAAAACATCGCTACCATGGCAACTTCTTAGATATTGGACATGGCAGTTGTCATTCAGTTCATCAAAGAGACTGAAGCAGTCTTGTCGACATCCTCTGAGTCCTGACACAATGTGATCAGGGTCAACTGGCAGCAGGTTATCAAAGAGACTGACTCAGTCTTGCAGAGTGTGTATATATATATATAGCTGACAAATCTGCAGTATGGCTTAAACTAACCTTACAAATATTAAACCCGTCAAATCTGACTGTGGGAACTTGTCTATTCTCTTGACTGTAAGGGCAAAATTTTGCGATGATAATAATGGTTTAATGATTAAAATTATTGAAGGCTAGCATAAAAATAAACATTAAGGGGTTAGTATTGTAATATATTAAAAGTGACTGTTTGAATTTTTTCTAATGTTTCAGCATGATTAAACTTTAACATTTGAATACACCAACAAATCAAAGTCACTTTTATTTGATGTGTTATTTGTAACTGCCAAATACTTTTATTATAGTATTAGCAGTATTATGTCATGTGATCTTTAGCTATAGACCTCATACAATATCTTTCAGAAAAGAGAACATACAGCTTATTTAGATAAGCATTAGGATTTTTAATGACCAAGACACCTTAATGAATTTAGTTTCATTTAAATTTTACTGATGTTTTTTGAACGTTGTAAATGAAAACTACAACATTGGATTTGCACTATATATCTCACGTGTGCTGCATTATTCTCAGGAAACATTTTTCTCTTTTCTTTATAAGAATAGTTAAAGGTTTTTACAAAAAACATTGAAATATAATATAAAAACATTATAAAAATATCCCAAATTTGTGAATTAAAGAAGCTTGTATAAGTCTCTTTAAATATTCTATATAATTAGCAACTCTTCGAGGTTGCTGGACTACATTCCCACCACTGTCAGTGAGCTTGATTTTTACATTCTTGACATAAAAGCACATAAAAGTCAAGGGGAAGTGGAAACAAATTTTGTTGTTGTCGTTACTGTGTTCCAGATTATTCTGTTGTTTAGTAAGCATTGACAATTATAATAAGTTAGTAGTTATTGAGAACACAGCTACTGTTAATGATTGACAAGGAATGAGTTGGTTATGTCCTTATTTGTTTTCTCCAGTACTCAAACTAAAGTACTAAAAAACAATTGTGTTGTTCAAAGTATGTAACTTCATGTACACACACACACACACACACACACACACACTAA